ATCATTAATTAAGTAGCCAGGGCTGACACCACGTGCTTAGGCATTAAGAGCTGTGTTATCATGTCAAAGAGAAAGATGGGATCATATTATATTTCCACAGTGGGCTCTCCTAGTACCTATTGGTATGCCACCAATGGGCGATCGCATTTCACACAATTAATCCAATGGGCCGCAGGTTGTTCATTGGTATTTTATTTTGAGTTTTTAGATTGAATTATTCTCGTTAACACCAGAGATCATTGCGTTACCCTTTACGCTCCCACAGGCAAAATAACTTTTCTTATGTTTGTGATGTTCTGGATGCATGATGTCATGATATTTTTTGCCAATAGAGTACCATTAACCATTGTGTGCAATGTAAAAAGAGAAAACATATTTCCACCACATTTTTATGTATGCAGTGTCTTTTTTTTTTTTTATAGTATATCTATAGCCCAAACTTTTCTTTACTCTTAAATAGAGTAAGGAAGGGTTAAAACCCCGGCCAGGTTTTCTCTTCACTGTCTGTGTACCATTGGTGAATTTCCTCCTCACTTCATGTCTCAGACACAAAAGGAAGTTAGAGGAAAACTCTTAAAGTGAGGGAAATTCACTTCTTAGACCAGAGTTAGCTAAACTTTGGCCCTCCAGCTGAGGTGAAACTACAAGTCCCATCATGCATCTGGAAGTTATGCCTGTGGCTGTCAAAGTCTTGCAATGCCTCGTAGTATGTAGTTTCTCTACAGCTAGAGGGCTGAAGCTTGGTTACTCCTGTCTTAGACAGCTGTTCCTAGACAGATGTCTCTACCTCTGGAGACAATTTGGAAATGTATTTCCTCTCACGTTCTTTCTTGGTTTGCTCCCACTGACCACTGAGCCTGGAGCATTGTTCGCTCTCACTGACCACTGAACCTGGAGAATTGTTCGCTCTCACTGACCACTGAACCTGGAGCATTGTTCGCTCTCACTGACACTGAACCTGGAGCATTTGTTCGCTCTCACTGACCACTGAACCTGGAGCATTGTTCGCTCTCACTGACCACTGAACCTGGAGCATTGTTCGCTCTCACTGACCACTGAACCTGGAGCATTGTTCGCTCTCACTGACCACTGAACCTGGAGCATTGTTTGCTCTCACTGACCACTGAACCTGGAGCATTGTTCGCTCTCACTGACCACTGAACCTGGAGCATTGTTCGCTCTCACTGACCACTGAACCTGGAGCATTGTTCGCTCTCACTGACCACTGAACCTGGAGCATTGTTCGCTCTCACTGACCACTGAACCTGGAGCATTGTTCGCTCTCACTGACCACTGATCCTGGAGCATTGTTCGCTCTCACTGGCCACTGAGCCTGAAGAATTGTTTGATCCCACTGACCCTGGAGCATTGTTTACTCCCACTGAGCCTGGAACACTGTTTGCTCCCAATGACCACTGAGCCTGGAGCATTGTTTGCTCCCACTGACCACTGAGCCTGAAGAATTGTTTGATCCCACTGACCCTGGAGCATTTTTTGTTACCAATGACCACTGAGCCTGGAGCATCGTTTGTTCCCAATGACCACTGAGCCTGGAGCATCGTTTGTTCCTAATGACCACTGAGCCTGGAGCATTGTTTGTTCCCAATGACCACTGAGCCTGGAGCATCGTTTGTTCCCAATGACCATTGAACCTGGAGCATCGTTTGTTCCCACTGACTACTGAGCTTGTGGCATTTCCTACACCCACTGGCCACAGTCTGGCCCCTAGTAATATCTGAAGGACAGTGAACTGGCCCCCTACTTAGAAAGTTTGAGGACCCCTGATAAGTGCTATTGTACTTTTATCAACCAGGTCCAGAGTTTCTAAATGATAACTTATGATTAGATCAGAGAGAGGTAATCATAGGCAGTATAACATCATGTCCGATAAACAATAACCAAGTTGGGGGGAAAAAATCCCTTACTTCTCCTTGATTCAAAGTCACTCAAAAACACTGTTTGTATAAGACACACCACCTACACTGCTCCACATGACTGCTCTAAAATTAGCTGAATTGTACAGTCCCAGTTTGGCCAGCCCTGTTTAGAAATATTGTATAAAATACACCAGCATGCATTAACCTATGGTAGCAACACTAACTAGACATAACTACCTCAAGCCAATTGAGATTGCTTTGCCCACTGTCGGAACTACCAGGGTCGCAGCGGTCACAATTGCGACCGGGCCCTGCATAGCTGAATTTTATTATAATGTATTGCTGGGATTTGTAGTCCCGCATAGCTGGTGGTATTCTGCATTGCTTTATGATGATTATACAGCAATGCAGAATAGCTCCAACTATGTAGGACTACAAGTCCCAGCACTGCATTATATTTTTAAGTAGGGATACTTACCTCAGCATCTGCGCTTGCGCACAGACCAATATTATCGAGGAAACAGGGATTTATTTACAAAGTATTTCGTCTTTAATCGTTACTTGTGACCGTTAATAATATTCCATCCATCATTCACTGCCATGCATGTTATATTAT